CGCGCCTCTCATTTCTTTGTGCATTTCATTCTCTCGCGCATCCATCCACATCTCAGAGCGTCTCATTCTCGCTCTCGACCACAAATCCACACTCCATACACGTCTTCGAAGGTATCTTCTCTTCGTTCACCACACTTCCTCATCTTCTTCTAGGGTTTCCACTTCCTTCCACCATTTTCCACCGTTCAAACACCTTAATCCCTTCGATCTTCACTTTTCACCGATCATCCGAGTCATTTGAACCGATTAATCAGTTTATATTGAGTCTTATCACCATTTAAGGGTTTCTTCGTGTCCAATTTGAGTTTTCCCTCTTTTCTAGAGTTCGTTCATGATTTTAGGGTATTCTGCCATCTATTGAGCTGGTCACTACAAGAGCACGATTGAGTGTCTTCACGTGGCCACCAGGGGTTACTAGTGAGTGGATCACTAGAAGACGTCAGTGAGCTAGTCACTTGGTCGCCTGAGGTTGCTAGTGAGCTGGTCATTACAAGACCACGGTTGAGTGTCTTTGCGTGGCCGCCCGGGGTTACTAGTGAGTTGATCACTAGAAGACGCTAGTGAGCTGGTCACTTGGCCGCCCGGAGTTGCTAGTGAGTTGGTCAATACAAGACCACGGTCGAGTGTCTTCGAGTGGCCGCCCGGGTTCGCTAGTGAGTGGATCACTAGAATAAGCCAGTGAGCTGGTCACTTTGTCGCCCGGGGTTGCTAGTGAGTTGGTCACTACAAGACCACGGTTGAGTGTCTTCGCGTGGCCGCCTAGGGTCACTAGTGAGTGGAGCACTAGAAGACGCCAGTGAGCTGGTCACTTGGCCGCCTGGGGTTGCTAGTGAGCTGGTCACTACAAGACCACGGTTGAGTGTCTTCGCGTGACCGCCCGGGGTCACTAGTGAGTGGATCACTAGAAGACACCAGTGAGCTGGTCTCACGGAGATAGGTTAGAATTGGCAAATGAAAATTATGGAATGCAAAATCTGATATTATTGATAACGAATGGAGATACATGGACGCTTAACTGAAATAAAACTTAAGGTGTGACGAATTCCAGGTATTAGGAATAGATTCGCCATTTAAGTACTCTAATGGGTATGCTCCATTGTTGAGATTCTCCTTTACTCTTAAGGGACCTTCCCAATTTGCTGCTAGTTTCCTATGAGCATGATTTTTCCTGGCCTGCCCTATTTTTCGCCAGACCAAATCCCCTTCCTTGAATTGGTGAAACCTAACCTTCGTGTTGTACCACCGAGCGACCAACCTTTTTCGGGCTTCCACGTGGACAACTGCTATGTCTCGCCTTTCCTACAGAGTTTCCAAATTCATTCTTAACTTTTCCTCGTTGACTCTTAAGTCCGCCATCTTTCTCCTTATGGTTGGCTTTCCTACTTCAACCGGTAACATCGCATCAATACCGTAAGTTAAGTTGAAAGGTGTTTCCCCTGTTGTCCCGTGCGGTGTGCACCTGTATCCCCATAGCACCTCCAAAAGATCATCCACCCATGCACCTTTACTCTCTCCTAGATGCCTTTTCAACTCGTTAACTATCATTTTGTTCATTGCCTCCGCTTGACCGTTCGTCTGTGGGTGTTCTACAGAACTGGTTACATGTTTTACGCCTAAGTTTCGGTAAAACTCTACTAACTTCACGTCTATGACTTGTCTTCCATTATCCGTGACGATGACCTTCGGCAAACCAAAACGGCACACAATTTTCCACACGAATTTTTGCACCTGCGCTGCGGACATGGTAGCAAGTGGTTCAGCCTCGACCCACTTGGTGAAATAATCGACAGCCACCAATAGGAACTTCTTTTGAGCCCTACCGACCGGGAAAGGTCTGATGATATTCATTCCCCACTGGGCAAACGACCATGGGGATGCAAGGATATGAAGCTCAATGGTCGGTAGGTTCTACATGTTGCCATGTTTTTGACAGTTGAGACAATTGCGGACGAAGTCATTGCAGTCTCTCTCCAATGTGGGCCAAAAATACTCTCAACACACGGGCTCTCAACGCCCTCTTTTCGGTATGCATGCCACACGCTCCTTCGTGTAATTCCTTCAACAGATATTCTGCCTCTTCTTGGGAAATACACTTAAGTAGGGGCATTACAAATCCCCTCTTTTATAGCTCTACCCCTATCAACACGTAGCGCGCTATACGCTTAGCATCCTTTGCCGAAATACCTTGTCCCTCGTCCTGCTCCTTTATTCGCATCATCACCTCCTGCCTCCAGTCTTCTCGATCGGGTTCTATAGACGTTGACATGCAGTCTATAGTAGGCTTTGTCATGATCCGCCTCACTATTGAGGTCAATTGCCCATTATCTTTGCCCCTGGAAAGATTTGACAAAATGTCTGCCCTTGTGTTCTCTTCCCTAGGGATGTGTGATACTTCTACACTTTTGAATTGTTGTGTTAAATTTGTTGCTCTGTGAAAGTATTGAAGGAGTTGATCATCCTTGATTTGGAAATCTCCCTTCATCTGACCAACCACTAATTGTGAATCCGTTCGACACCCCACACACTCTACTCCCAAGTCTTGGGCCAACTCCAGTACGGCAATTAGGGCTTCATATTCTGCCTGATTATTACTGACCTTGAACTGAAAAATGAGCGATTCTTCTACCGCTAACCCGTTCGGCCCCTCCAACACTACACCTGCGCCTCCTCCCTTTCCACTGATCGATCCATCAACAAAAAGCTTCCATGGTTGCAAGGCATTATCTTCATCCGACTGCAACTCTGACGTGAATTCTGCCAAGTGTTGGCCACGTACTGACCCGCGTGGTTCAAATCGCAACCCAAATTCAGACAATTCTACTGCCCACCCGACAATCCGACCAGCTAAGTCGGGTTTTCTCAGTATTTTCGCAATAGGATGATCGGTTCGCACTACGACTTGGTAGCTCTGGAAATAAGGCCGTAGACGACGCGACACCGTCAACAACGCCAGAGCAACCTTCTCGATTTGTTTGTACCGACACCGTCGTTCGCGCTTACTGTATTTTCGGTCATTGCAAGGTAAAGTTGTAAATCATTCCCATCGTCTGGCCTTCCCATTATGGGTGGGCTAACCAAACTTCTCTTCGCCTCTATGAAAGTTTCTTCACAGCTCGCATCCTACTTGGACAACGAGTTCTTTCTCATTGTGGTAATGATTGGTTTGACTTGCTCGGCCAGCCTTGGGATGAACCTTGACAAGGCAGTCAGACGTCCCACCAAACGTTGCACTTCTTTCAAGATTTGAGGGCTCCGCATTTCCAGAACGGCCTTACATTTATCGGGATTGGCCACGATGTCTCGAGCAGTTAACCTGAAACCTAGGAATTTTCCCGCAGGCACACCAAAAGTGCATTTTGCTGGATTTAGCCTGATGTCGTATTTCCTGATTTTTCCAAATACCTCTGCTAAGTCGCTGATGGGCTCCTCTCTCGACCGACTCTGCACCACCATATCATCGACATAAACTTCCATGCATCTCCCTATTTGCTGGTGGAAAATCTTATCCATCAACCTCTGATATGTCGCTCCTGCATTCTTCAGCCCGAAAGGGATGACATCATAACAATAATTGGATTTCTCAATAATAAAAGCAGTCTTTTCACAATCAGGATGATACATTGGAATCTGGTTGTATCCTGAATAAGTGTCAAGGAAGCTAAGTATGGCATATCCCAAGGCTCCATCTACCAAGCCATCGATACTAGGTAGTGGGTAGGAATCTTTTGGACAGGCTTTATTCAAGTCTGTGTAATCAGTGCACATACGCCATTTTCCATTGGCCTTCTTCACCATCACAACATTGGCCAACCAAGTGGTATACTTAACTTCCCTAATAAACTGAGCATCCAACAACTTTTTGACCTCCACGTCCACCGCCTTACGCTTTTCTTTCCCCATCCTTCTCTTCTTCTATGCTACCGGGTGTGCCTCTTTGAAGATTGCTAGTTTGTGGGTCATTACGTTGGGGTGTATTCCAGGCATGTCGGACACCGTCCATGCAAAAAGATCACGGTTCTTTTTCAATAGAAGACCAACACTATTAACTTATTCAGCTGTTAGCCCAGTTCCCACCGAGGTATTCTGGCCCTCCAACTTTCCAAGACTAAAAGGTCTTATCCCCCCTTGTGGCTCCATCCTTTCTTCAATGCCCATCCTAGGGTCCAGGTCTGCTAACACAACATCATTTCCCTTTACTCCACATTTATGGACGAGCGGTTGCACCCTCAAACCCGCCACGTAGCACTCCCTAGCCATCTTTTGATCGGCTCTTACCGTGCAAATGGTATCATCCTTAGAAGGGTACTTCATTGCTAAATGAGGTGTTGAAAAAATTGCTCCGAAAGCATTCAAACATGGTCTCCCGATCAGTACGTTATATGACGTATTTGCCTCTACCAGCAGAAATCTTACTCTTATTTCCTTAGCCCCCCGTCTGTTACTAAACTTGTTCGTAAGTCCACGTATCCTCTAGTGTCCACCCGTTCTCCAGAAAATCCCACGATCTGCTCGTTGTAAGGAATTATCAAATCCTCCGACAGATCCATTCTTTCAAAAGTTTTCCAATAAAGTAAATTGACCAAGCTACCTTGGTCAATGAGCACTTTGCTTATACTGTATCGGGCCACGATTGCCGTTATTACCATTGAATCGTCCTGTTCAGGGTCTAGAGCATGAAAATCCCTATCAGAAAAAGTGATGCTCGGCATTGACTGCCTTGATACTTCTATGCTATTCACACACCTCAACCCCCTCAAATGTCTCTTTCTTGCAGAAGGGGTACAACCTCCCCTCGTAAAGCCTCCTGAAATAGTATTAATGTGGCCCTTAAGAGGCCTTTCCGCACTCCTACTCCTGCTCAGACGAGCATCCTTCTTGTTAGTGTGACGATCTCTCCCGGGCGACTTTCTTCGGGTATCACTTCGTACATATTTTTTCAGCTATCCCGACCTTACTAACTCCTTGATTTTATCCTTCAGAGCGTGGAACTCTTCCGTGCTATGACCAGCAACCTTGTGATACCTGCAATACTGTCCTTTATCACCGTTCGGATCGCTTTTCTGCGGCTTTGGAGGACGTTGTTCGGTTTGCATCGCCTCTTTGAATATCTTGGTACGTGGTACCCCTAGCGGTGTATAATTGCTAAACTTTTGCCCCTTTTGTTGTTCGTACTGACCTCCTTACCTCCCCTCTAATCCTGGCATCTTTTGTTTCTCCTTCCGATCGGACTTATGACTTGCAGACTGCATCACTGCCTCCTTTTGACTCTTCTGGAAAGCCCTCATCTCTTCTACCTGAATGAACCGAGCTGCCCTGTTCAGCAGTTCCCCCATCGTCTGTGGTGGTTTGGCATAAAGGCTGTCAGCAAACGGGCCTGGCTTAAGTGCGGTGGTCAAACTTCTCAAGATATATTTCGGTCCCACATCTCTAACCTAACGCACCATTTTATTGAAGCGATCCATGAAGTCCTTCAATGTTTCTTCTTTCCTCTTATTCATCTTCACCAATTCTAGATACGTCAAATCTTCAGCTTTGCTGGACGCAAACTGCTGGCTGAACACCTCCCGCAGGGTTTCAAACCCATCAATCGTTCGGGGTTCGAAGGAGTGGAACTAGTCTAAAGCCTCCCCCTTCAACGACAAGGAAAAGACCTGACATTATACCATGTCATCCGACAAGTACACTGTCGTTGCATCTATAAAAGAGCGCAGATGTTTCACGGGGTCAGATGTCCCATTGTATTTATCCATTGATGGTAACATCTTGTTCTCTGGCATCATCGCCCTCATGACCGCTGCAGTAAAAGGATGGAGTCCCTTTACCCGGTCAGGGCGCTGAATTAGTGGTAAATGATTCTCCTGGTTCACATTTTCCACTAGGCGGCCAACATTCTGAAAACTCCCTCTGACATCGTTTGCCTCCTGCCTTCCACCCACGTCTTGGAAGGTATGGCTACTCTCTCCTCTACCCTCCTGACCAACACCCCTGCATCGTTATTCACCTAATGTTGGATCAAACGCCCTCCTGGTCCTCTACTCCTTTTAGCTCTCAAATCTGCTACCTCATCTCTTAACTCCTGCACTTGTCTCTGCATCTCCTGAAATACCTGTAGTTGAAGTTGCTCTGCCATTATGGTTTCTGTAAGTATTTCCTCTGCTCTCCACGGCCCCACGGTGGGCGCCAAATGTTTATGTTTAAAGTGGGTATGAGGTCTCTGCTCCACGTACTTCCTCTCTTCCTATGTACAATTAGTGATTCAAATCTCCTTCCCCGATCGGTACCGCGGAGTGGCCTGCAAGAAAACACTTTAACGCTCAAGTTAGTGAGGTGTCCTCCAAGGTCTTCAATCAAATCAGAAAAACCAAATGTACCTGGTTATTAGTGTTGTATTTATAGGCTTTGTCATTATCCGGTCCATTGGGCGTCATTAAATGCCCTTCAATGCAACACATCTTGTGCCTGATCATTCGCTAACGCCCTTATATCCGGCATAATATGCCTGATATTACCCATTAATTAGTTATAAATGTCTTTCGCGCGATATAGGAGTTACTGACCTTTAATACACATTAATGCAATTAATTGTCTACCGATCGGTTATTCCCTGTTGCGTTGGTTACCTCCGGTGGATCGTCCTCAACGCCCAATATCGATCGTCCACCTCATATAGTACAGAAGGTTAAGAGATAATGTCTCATCTTTGTATTGAATTCATCTCATCCATTATGAGGAGCTAAATCTCTTTTGTGTTGAAGTGAGATGTTACCCTTTGAAACCTCTTGTATTTGGTACTACTTTATTTATGAAAGATTTTGATTTCAATTACATGTTTATGAATTGGTTTATACTTGCTGTTGGATAAACTAATCACTCATCTTATTTCACTCGTTTATGATTGAGTGGAACTGGTTTCAAGTTGTGGTCCAATTAATTCTTGTCCTACTTTTAGATGCTAGGAATAAATCTAAGGCATAGAGTCTTAATCTTAATGCACGTGATCCATTCAAATAGTCAATAAGGAATCATACTGAAGTTTAGTGGTCTCAGGCTTTAAGTGTCAAGAATGGATCTAGAGTTACATTCAAATAGAATTCCTAGGACATTATTAACATTCTTAAAAAAAGAAGATTCATTCACAACACAATTCTTATCATGATTAACAACCAGAGGATCTATTATAGGCTCCGCCATAAGTTCCACCACAAGCTCCATCACAGGCTCTATCACTAGCTCCATTGTACCTCTACCACATGAGCTAAAGAGTCCTTTATCTTATCTTGTGCACCAAGCACCTTGGAACGATAATGTTGGTGTATTTTTGTGCCAACTATTTTCTCCCACCAAAAATAATATTGGTATGCTATTGTAATTGTTTACATAAGATAGATCATATGATCAATCATTTTACAATTTGGAAAAATAAAGATAATTACTTATACTCCACATCAACAATAAGCTCAAATCCTAGTCTTTCCACCAAAATTTGAGAAATAATCGAAAAAATCGCATTTCGAGATTGAAATAATCGAAAAAATCGCATTTCGAGATTGAAATAATCAAAAAATCAGGTTTCGACTTTGAATTGTGTAAGTGATGTTCGAAATCACCGAGCATCAATCTGTTACGTACTATAACTTCCAGGAACCTATTGGGTCCTACGCTACTACCATAAACATTTTCGACTTTTGGTGTATTTACCAGGCTCCATCCCAGATAACGCGCGTAAGGCGATCTGGGAAAGTGTTAGAAAAAAGTAAGCATGCTAGACATTTTCAAAAGATGAAAATGAGACTAGCCCAGAAATTCCTTCAACCATTAATTGTTATATTTGAATCTATTTTATGGGATAGAAAAATTAAGCATATATCTTAGACACTTGAAAAGAAGAAAACAAAATTGGTAAAAAGAACTTCAGGATTCTACCATTCAAATCTATTTTAGTATTAGCAAATTAAACACTTTACGAGAAAAGGAAAAAGAATGAAACCATTCAAATTGTGACACAAAGTAAACGAAAACAAAAGGAAAAAAATAATTTAGAAACACAATTACTAAAATACAATAAGAACATTTGGCGCCCACCGTGGGCCTTGTAAAATGTTTCCCCACCTTCATCTACCTTCATCTACCAATGCTCACCACTCCAAGCCAAGCCCAACACTCCTACAAAATGGAATCCAACCCAATGACGACCCTCCAACAACAAATGCAAGCACTTATCTAGTAGAACGAATAATGCAGGCATTACAATGTCGAGCTTGAAAACCTATGCTCGCAACGATAGGTCGACCTCAATGAACTCCAAGACATTCGGAAAAACTTGACCAGCTTGGAAAATGAGAAATCACCTTCCCTACCTCAGCCTAATTTTCATAAGGACGGCCCATAATTTTCGAATAGAGCACAACCCGCTAGCCCGACAAAGTTTGCATGAAAGTCAAAGCCTATCTCCTCAACATTGCTGGAAAGAAGTATAGTCTGCCAACTCGGCGAGGTTCACATGGAAGTCAAAGTCGATCTCCTTAATGTTGAGCTTGAAGGGTCCGGAGGAGAAGGCTAACGTGACACAAAATGAGAGAAAGTCAGGGACAACCCTGCCACTCCGAACCCAGACTTGGAATCAGTGGAATTCCAAGATTCCATAAGACACCCTAGTGGGTGAGTAGACCAGGAAGGTCATTAAGCTCCCCAAAAGCATGAGCGGGACTTTTGAATCAAGACTGACCATGTGGGGAATTTTCATCCTTTCACGACAGAAGAGGCTTGGGCACACATCACTAGGGAGCCGAATCGGCCACAAATCTAAAAGCATTTTGGATTTAGGCCAATATCCATACAGAAGATGATAATGCTTTTTGTAGGTTATTTCCAACTACCTTGGATGAACTGACCTTAGATTG